GGGGGGGTGGGTTACCATTCCTCTTTGGATACGATTTAGAAGACATTTTCGGAGTAGTATTACATTGGATTGGGCAAGAGCGGAGTTTTTCTTTTTGGCTTGTGGGCTTGATAGGCTTCTCGCATTGACGTGATATGTACTCAAAAGCAGTATGTAGTTACCAATTATCAGTTGTTAAGAGTATCTACAAAGGTAGTAGCATGAGATGATATCAGCCTCAGGCAGGGAGAGCCCGAAGCGGCAAAGCGGGCCTCAGGAATCAGGCATGCCAGGGTGGACCGTTTCCCCGCACGATCCATTTATTTCTCCAGATTTGCGAGTCAACGACGTAGTAGAGGGAGGATCTGGAGATATCTGCCAGTAAATGCAAGGTAATCGCGTGTGCCGTAACCACGCAACACCGAGCTTCGACGACTCGCTAGGTCGTAGGCATCCCCCCAGCAAGACGACGACTAATCAATCCATGGCAATCGTCGGCAAGAACCGGCGATGGCTGCTGCTGCGCGCTCTCCTGACGGAGCAGTCTCTCCCGCCAGCGTCCCCGCATGGGCGCAGTGATTGGAGTCTTCCGTCAAGTCGTTACGAGTAGCATCAAAGAGCCATATCATGCAATACTCTCGGTACCTTGCTCTGGGGGGGGGCGCCAGCTGATTGGCTGTCCCCGCGTTGGTTGCATTTGGTATAAAGCCTGCGCCTTCCCTCGCTCTCGACCCTCGGCCTTCGTTGCTCCCCCTCTATGTCTCTCTTCTTTTTGTTACTTGACCCTTGACAGTCCAGTTGGTCAAATCTACACGGCTCGCCGCATAGAAAGGAAGAACTCTTCCTCGATACTTTACTCACGCGACACCATGTTCCCCGCACGTGCCCTCGCCTTGAGGTCTGTCAAGAATGCGCCGCACAATTGGCACTCGCAGCGACTCTTCTCAACGTCGCTGCGACGAGATGCCACCTGGGGCTTCATTGGGCTTGGTCGAATGGGTATATCATTGTCTCTTTCTTTCTTTCTTTCTTTCGGGCCCTGCATATTACTACCTGGTCTCGCCATAATATCGATACTAACGGTAATAGGCTATCCCATGGCACGAAATCTACGCGCCAACATTCCTGCTTCAGATACCCTCGTTGTGCATGATGTCAACGAACAGGCTGTGCGCAAATTTGCCGACGAGGCCAAGACGGCAAGCCTCGGTCCTATTGAGGTCGCTGACAGTGCTAGGGCATTGGCTGAGAAATCGGTAAGCATGGGGAACTGTGTATATACTACGATCAACGCATTGACGGGAATTCGCTTTTCAGACGAACATCATTACTAGCCTTCCTCAACCGGTTCACGTGAAACATGTCTTCCACTCCATTCTCAAACCTGGACCCCTGCCGCAACTCGAACAAGAGCGACTCTTCATTGACACGTCCACCATTGACCCTGTCACCTCGAAGGAAGTCGCGTATGCCGTGCAAGCACCGAACCAAGGGCGATTTGTCGACGCGCCCGTGTCTGGTGGCGTGGTTGCCGCCGAGGCAGGCACTCTATCATTTATGTTCGGCGCTTCATCCAGGACCGGTGCTCTAGTGGAACGCGTCAAATTCATTCTGGCTCACATGGGCAAGAACACCTGGCATCTGGGCGAACAGGGCGCAGGAGTCAGCGGCAAATTGGCTAATAACTACATTCTTGCCATCAACAACATCGCCGTAGCTGAGGCCATGAACCTCGGTGTTCGATGGGGTCTGGATCCCAAGGTCCTGGCCGACATGATCAATTCCTCGACTGGCCGCTGCTGGCCGAGCGAGGTTAATAACCCTGTGCCCGGCGTGAAAGAGAAGGCCCCAGCCAGCCGTGATTATGAAGGTGGATTCGGGATTAGCCTGATGCGCAAGGATCTGAAGCTCGCCATTGATGCCGCACAAGAGACAGGGGCACCCCTGGAACTAGCTGCCACGGCGCGCGGTCTGTATGACGCTGTAGAAGATGTGTATCCTAACAAAGACTTTTCAGTCGTTTACAAGTATTTGAGCGATATTTCTCGCCGATAGGGGCGGCCTTATTCCCTTATTCTTCTGTTCAGGAGATTTCTCTCTTTTCTTTTTGGCATTTTGTGCGTTGCATTAGGCGATGGACTGGGCTCGGAGTTTGCGTGCGGGAAAGGCTACGTACATATAGTTTTGGAATTGATTTTGATTTGAGTGTTTTTTGAACGTTTCTTTATCAGAAGTAGTAGTAGTGAAGCATCAAAACTGCAGTGTTTAATGTTTGTAGATGGAGACTGATTGGGGATAGCTCGTCCCGGTGGAGCCAGCTGCTGCGGAACGTCATTGCGCCCGTTTGTTCAATCTCTCAGTCCAGTACAGCATTTCCTCCATCCTGAAGCAACCCCCGCTGGTCAGCTGGAAAACCGGAAAACTCAAGAACCTCGCTCATTACGCTGGAATACTGCGCAGAATCTTCCGCGGCCCTCGACCTGCTGCCTGCAGTAGGTCCAAATAACCTACTCGGCACCAAGCAGTGGCCACAGCTCGGTAGAACAGAACGTCCACCCCTCCTTTCCCAAGCAGCGCTCGCTTCTATATCAACTGAAAAAAGGCTTTGCACAACCTCAAGCCATGGCCTACGTCGTCCCAATCCATCGTCCCAGCAGCGTGCGGCATGCGCTGAAGCTCAACTTCCTCGAGCCGGAAGAAGATTGTCTTGTGGTCGCGTATGAATTTGCCCTACTGCTCCCCGAGAGCCCTTTTATATCCATACAGCGCTCCTACACTTTGGCACGCACGAGCTGGTACTGACTGATGCAAATAGCAAAGGATCCCGCCTCGAATTCTATTCCATAACCCCTGATGGCCTCGCACTGGCTACATCCCGTGCTCTTTATACCAAAGTCTCTATGCTAGCCCGGCTACCTACACCGGCTAATTCAACTACAGATCACCTTTTTGTTGGTACAGATCAGAATACTTATTTTACGTTGAAATGGGACAGTGAAAAGAAGAGAGTTCGCACTGAGCGGAGCTATGTCGATCTCGCAGACAAGGCTTCCCGTGCGTCCCAGAACGGAGATCGCTGTTTAATAGATCCAAGTGGGAAATACATGACATTGGAGATATTCGAGGGCATGGTCACGGTGATACCGATTGTTCAAGCATATAAGAAACGGGGGAAGCCGCCAGCTCAGAGAACCACCCACTTCAGCAACCCCGACGAACCAGTCCCGCAAATCGGTGAATTGGGGGAGCCAATGATGACGCGGATAGATGAGTTGATGGTTCGGTCGTCAGCTTTCCTGCATGTTGAGAGTAGAGCAGCTCCTCGCTTGGCGCTTTTGCACGAGGACAATCAACGGAAAGTGCAGTTGAAAATTAGGGAGCTTCATTTTGAAGCGCCCACTGAGCCGGTATTCCAAGAGGCTGAGAATTTTGCTCAAGAGCTAGATCTTGGCGCTTCGCACTTGATTCCTGTTCCCGCACCATTAGGTGAGTTTTTGTTCTTTTGTTCTTTCTCTTTGGGAAAAGAGTACGATTGGCCATGTTCCTAACAGAAGGGTAATGATATCAAGGCGGTCTATTGGTGCTCGGAGAGACTTGCATCAAGTATATCGATGATGCCAAAAATGAAACCATTTCCTGGCCTCTCGATGAAGCCACTATCTTCGTTGCATGGGAGCAGGTAGATGGTCAGCGATGGCTTCTCGCGGATGACTACGGTCGCCTGTTCTTCTTGATGCTAGTTCTGGATTCTCGAAACGAAGTCCAAAGCTGGAAAATCGACTACCTTGGAGACGCATCGAGAGCGTCTGTTCTGATTTACCTAGGCGCTGGATTGACCTTTGTCGGTTCTCATCAAGGCGACTCCCAAGTCATTCGCATTGGTGATGGCTCTTTCGAGATTATCCAAACAATATCGAACATCGCGCCTATTCTAGATTTCACCATCATGGATCTTGGTACACGCGAAGGAGAAAACTACACCCATGAGTTCTCGTCTGGCCAAGCTCGCATCGTTACAGGTTCTGGTGCATTTAATGATGGCACTTTGCGAAGTGTGCGAAGCGGTGTAGGCATGGAAGAACTCGGCGTCTTGGGAGAGATGGAGCACATCACAGACATGTGGGCTTTACAAACCTCAAGCAGGAGTGGCTTCTCGGACACCCTTGTGGTCACTTTTGTCAATGAAACAAGAGTCTTCCGTTTCAGTCCGGACGGCGAAGTGGAGGAGTTGGATGAGTTTCTCGGTCTGGATCTGACAGAGAATACCCTTCTCTCCGGTAACTTGCCTGGCAGTCGTGTCATACATGTTACAGAAAGCGGTGTAAGCATAGCTGATACAGACAGTGGCATGGTTACGTCGAAATGGTCACCCAATGGTCTGGCAATTACTTCAGCGTCATGTAATGATCAGCGTCTTGTAGTGGTGGCTGGCGGACAAGTCCTGGCAGTTATTGATATAACGGATGACTTGAAGCTCGTCTCGCAGAAAGACTTTGGCAAGGACAATCAAATATCTGGCGTGACCATTCCGCCATCAACATCACAAACATGCATCGCTGCTTTCCCACAAAAAGCCCAGGTGGCTATTCTATCTTTACAAAAGCTTGATGAGATACACAGCCAATCGCTCGGTGTTGCTAGCGAGGCTTTTCCACGGGCTGTGCTCCTGGCTGACATCCTGGCTGAAAATCCTCCGACATTATTTGTTTCTATGGCAGATGGAAGTGTCGTGACGTTCTCTTATGAGTCCGGCAACCACACGCTTAGTGGCATGAACAAATTGATTCTCGGATCGGAACAGCCAACATTTAAAAAGCTACCTCGAGACAACGGGCTTTTTAATGTCTTTGCCACTTGCGAACATCCGAGCTTGATATATGGCTCTGAAGGTCGCATTATATACTCTGCAGTGAACTCCGAGGGCGCATCTCGTGTCTGCCATTTGAATACAGAGGCATACCCAGATGCGATTGCGGTTGCAACGTCGACGGACCTGAAGATAGCACTTGTTGACAAGGAGCGCACCACCCAAATCCAGACACTACCAATCGGAGCAACCGTCCGACGAGTAGCATATTCACCAACTGAAAAGGCATTTGGAATCGGAACGATCAAGCGCAAATTGCAGGATGGCGCTGAAATTGTGGAGAGTCAATTCGTGCTTGCCGATGAGATCATGTTCCGACAGTTGGATTCTTTTGACTTGAAGCAAGACGAGTTGGTTGAAAGTGTTATACGCGCTGAAATAACCATGGGTAAAGACGAGTCTGGTGAACCCATATATAAAGATAGGTTTATTGTTGGCACAGCGTATTTGGATGACGAGGGAGAAGAGTCCATTCGAGGACGTATTATGTTATTTGAGGTTGACTCCAATAGAAAACTGGCCTTGGTCACGGCACATCCAGTGAAGGGGGCGTGTCGAGCGTTGGCTATGATGGGTGACCAGATCGTTGCCGCCCTTGTTAAGACGGTAAGTGTTGTGCATGATAAACCACTGGGGGAGGAAATAAAGTTACAAAGCTAACTGAACGCAGGTCGTCATCTTCAGGGTTGAGCAGCAACGTTTCGGAAGAGTTCAACTAGTGAAATCTGCTGTCTACCGCACATCGACAGCTCCTGTGGACATTGCGGTAACCGGAAAAACTATTGTCGTAGCCGATTTGATGAAGAGTATCTCGATAGTTGAAAGCGGGCAAAATGAGCAATTTAGAGATGAGGCAAAGGAAGTGGCACGCCATTATGCGACTGTGTGGACAACAGCTGTAGCAGATATTGGCTCGAATCAATGGCTTGTCAGCGACGCCGAAGGGAACTTGATTGTTCTACGGAGGAATATCGATGTCATCACAGATGACCGACGCCGGTTAGAAGTGACAAGTGAGCTGCTTCTGGGTGAGATGGTCAATCGCATTCGACCGGTGAACATCCCACAAACATCAACTGTTGCTGTGACGCCGAAGGCATTCTTAGGAACGGTATATCTCTCGTCTTGAGTTACTGTCACATATCTTCTTGCTTTGATACTGATTCGTATTCTGCAGGTTGAGGGATCGATCTATCTCTTCGCGCTGATCAACTCAGAACATCAGGATTTCCTCATGCGTCTCCAGACGGCCATCGCTGCGTATGTGGACTCACCTGGTCTAATGCCTTTTAATAAGTTCAGGGCTTTTCGTTCCACTGTGCGCGAAGCCGAAGAGCCATTCAGATTCGTCGATGGCGAACTCATTGAAAGATTCCTAGACTGTGAAAGACCCATTCAAGAAGAGATCTTGGGTCTTGTTGGTGATGGTAATGGCGCAGACCTAGAGACGGTGCAAAAGATGATTGAAGCTTTGAGGAGGTTGCACTGATTCTTTTCTTTTGTTTCAAGACATACTTTTCAACCATGACATGATCATGATATATAGATTTTGGTGATGCATTTCAACGATCATTATGAACTCAAGGGAAGCCCGGTTTATGATATCCCTACTGGTGAGGCCAATGAAAGGTGTCTAGGTTAGTCTGTCTTCCTAAATCCTCAGTAAAGCAAATAAATTATCTATGTACCTGGATACGCATGTAGCAGGGAGAAACAAATACGCAGTACCTGAGTATTTACCAGTCCAATACCTAACTTAGTTTGCGAGACGAAGCTTAATGAACCAACTAGCTACCTAGGAGATATATTAAATATCCAAATGTGAAAGAACGGCACAGAAGAGCTTGTAAATACATCATCAGAAAGCTCATTTCAAAGGCCGATACTTAATAGCTTCTGTACTTATCCCTCTAATCTCATTTGCAACCCTCTTTGATAAATCGTCTAGTTCACCGACCGTAATACCTCCACGCAGCAAGAGATTAGCACTTAGACTCAAGACACCAATGACAGTAGCCACCCGCAGCGCCTGGTTAGTACCAGTACGTCGGCTTACTTGATCATGACAAGGGGATGGGGTAGCATCCTTCAGACTTCGCTTATACACAAAATCTCTCTTTGTAGGCACAAAAATACTCCTGAGCCAGTAATTGAACTGCCAGTCAGGATAGAGCATGGTGTTTCGCCCGGTCTTGCTATCGATATACCAGCTTGTGCAACCCGAGGCCCAGACCAGAGACTTTGAAAGATCCTGGATCCAGTCGTTATCATTCCGCTCGGCTGCGAGGGTGACAGCAACGCTGGTCGGTTTTGGTGACAGTGATAGTGAGAGTAGGGACGGCCTTTGAAGTATGGGTTTGAGCACGCGGAGACTGAAGTTGACTTGGCATTCAGTCGAGTATATGACCGATAAATGTCCCGTGGTAGTGTTGGGTCCCATCATGACGAAGAAATTGGGAAAGGATGAGATACAGGTGCCGTAGTAGGCTTGAGGATGGCCATTTGAAACTTCGTTCCACTGTCGTGACCGTAAGTGGTCAGAGCTAATAGTCCTCTCTGGAGGAACAAATGTCATTTGGGAGGGCGTAGACTTACATGTTCCTCAAGGCTCATGCCACCCTCACCCCGAATCTCCGAATCCAATGGGTACAGTACTTTCTGTGTCTGGAAACCATTCGCCAATATAATGGCATCTGCATATACCTCCCGTCCAGATTTAGTCTTTACCCCTGTCTCCGTTATAGTAGAGATCGGATCATCCCAAACAAGCTCCATGTTCTGATTATGCAAGCACGAGAAATAGCCAGTATCGTTGACTTTACGTTTACACCCGATTTCAGTTGCTGGTGTTAGCGTTGCATGATATTTCAGTGGAGCTGTGCGTTTCATATACTCGATCCTCTCGTCAGTCAGACTCTTGCGCACCTTACCACCGGAGAGAAGTTTGAAGCCGAAGAAATCCTTTTCCATGTCCGCGTAGAGCCAGAAGCGGTATAAGCGCATGGCCAGCGGCACGTAACGCATAGTCCATTTGAAGAGTGGTGTATATTCGGGATTTGGTCTTTCGGCAATCCAGTGTGGTTGGCGGGCGAATTGGGTGACTCTCCTCGCTGGGTTTCGAACGGAGCTGTAATTTTTAGGGGTACTTCCACTGGAGAGAATGGGAACAAATTGTGTTGCACTACAGCCATTTCCTGAAAGACCATGTATGCCATCGTCAGTTTTGTGAAGTATTATAGCTGGTCGCCTTTAATCCTCACGACTGGCAAATCGAGGGGAGGTACCACCTACCTATGACAACAATCTCCTTATTCCCCCAATCAAACTCATGGTCCCATCTTGCCGAATGAAATAAAGCACCCTTAAACCTTTCAGCGCCAGGTATTTCACAGGACCTAGGTATCGATAAAGCTCCCACGGCGGATACCATAACCCTACTCCTTACCTTCCTCGTTGCACCGGTTTTCTTATCGAGGACATCCGCCACCCAGATCTCGTACGTCTCATCCCAAGCGGCTTTCTGGACACTTGAGTTAAACTCAATATGTCTGACAACGTCATACTGAGTTGCAACGTTTCTGAAATAATCCAGAATCTCAGGCTGCAACGCGTACTTCTCTGTCCAATCCGGCTTGAGCGCAAACGAGTATGAATAGAAGTGTGAAGCGACATCGCAGCCGCAGCCTGGGTACTGGTTGACAGACCAGGTGCCACCAAGGTCGGAGGAAGATTCGACGATGGTGTAAGAGGCCCGGGGGTACTCTTGCTGCAGACGAATGGCAAAGTTCAGGCCGGACATGCCTGCACCTAGGATGAGGACGTCTGTGTCTAGGCTCATGGCTGGCGATAGTCTAGTAGATAAAGAGTAAATCACAAAGACTTTTGTTGGACCGTCAGATAGTAACAATTTTATGATTCCATACCCCAGAATGATTCAAGGAGCTTCCCTGAGAAGCTATATGAACATTCGATCAGACAATGCTATGACGGGAGACCTTCCATTTGGAGCTACCCCGCACAACATCCATGTCCTCTGCATGCTACATACCTATTTTGAGACAGTAACTGGCTCAAGGATGACATTTTCCTAGCAAGGAAAAAGGGAAACTCCCGTATTGCTTGGCTTCCGGCTTACTTTCCATGTTCGACACCTCCATAAGCCCCGCTCCACTCGGCGATCCGCGGGGGTATCTTGATTCTCCGCATTTTAGCATCGCCCGGCAGTAGAGAAGGTGAAGCGAGAATACTGCATTGCATTCAGGCATTTGCAGTAAATAAATTAAAGTTGTCGTTTAATATGCTTTGGCTTTTATTGTAACTCGAACTCGTATAGTCCGTCTTTCGGAAACCTGTATCTGTCGCTTGACAATTTCTTCTGCGATCTCATGCACTCTGGAGCCAGCTACTCGAGGGGAAGCGTAAATGATTTCTGTCTCATAGGTCCTTCGTGTACGAACTCTCGATATATCACACAGGAGTGTTTCTTTATTGTGCTATTGCAGCATGATCTTGAAGCCACATCCTTTGTAGACGAATGACAGTAACGTCTATTTCCCTGTCAACCTTGACAAAACCAATCCCTAAAGTTGATGTGCAATTTCCCTAAGACCCAGTGGCCCCTTCCTCCCACTCCCAGTCTTTGAGCAGCTGTTTTACCCGGTATTCCGTCGCCCAGCCAGTGTCCGCCTCTATGCCTCTCAGTAATCCCAGGATAGTCCTACGTTCCCGGGGCTCGGTTAGACACTGTCCAGTGACGAACAATGGCTGTAATGAATGAATTCGGGACGATGCATCCATGCGAGACATCGAAATACTACAAATGTCATAGCTGTGAAGCCGAATCTCACTTTCGATTGAGCGGTATGACTTTAATCTATCCGTAACAGTTGTCCGTCGAGCGGTAGATTCATGTGGTTTATTAATGAGCAGTATTATTCGAGCCATGTGGTAGTGTTGCATTGTGGAAGCACACATGGGCATGCTGAACCACACCTCGTCGAACGGACAATCATCGACGCCGTTGGCTAATGGTGGGACCCGAGCCGATTCAAGTCTCGCACATGGTTGGAATGTCTCTGGAAGTCCGTTGTACCAAACATCTAGCTCACTTTGCAACCTGTGCCAACGTTCGAGCAGTGTATTCTGCGAAACCCCAATCATGGGCCCTTGATCAGATTGGCGGCCAGTAGAAGCCACATTGATCTGGTCGCCTGCATCAATAAAATTAACGATTTTGGACAGAAGCCAGATTAGAGCATTTGAGATCATGTCTTCTTTCATGTTGCTTTCTTCGTCGGTGTTGCTTGGGCGTACAAAACCGTTGCTATCTAGTTGTAACCCGGCCTCGGTCCATACCAGCAAGTCTTCTGGGTTCAGTCGAGTCTGGCATTCGTTGATAACTGAGAATAGTAAGCATTCTAGCCCGGTTAGTACGGGGATATAATCAATACATGTACTCACAAGCAGAGAGATAGTCTTGTCGGGCGAAATTCCAAAACGTAGCCCTTCGTGCACGCGACAGACCTGGAGTCAATCGTGGCAGAATGCCATTCCCAGGAGACTGCACCTGTCCCAATGGCATAATACCAATTTCTGCAATATCAAGAAGGGACTTCACTCCACTCAAGTGACGATTCCATGCTGGGCCTGTTGCATCTAGAAATTCATACACCGAAAGGATTGCTGTTGCCGCCAGAACCTCATCTGAATGTGAACCAGAGAAACGACCATTTGAACAGCGCCTCCTCCTTTTACCAGCCCGCTCCCCACCATCATACAGTTCAGCTGCTTGCCATTGTCCAAAGGCTTCCGGTGTACTCAATGGCGCTGGGCTTGTGCCGTCGTGTTGCAGCTCTTTCATTAGCAGTTGAATGGCCTTGTCGTAGTACTTTGCACCATACCACTCCCAGTCCACCTTATCGGCATCTGGCCACACCTCCATCAATGCTTGTTTAGAGCACCTACCACCCATGATGGCTTTTGCGCCTTGCACCCGGCTGAGCTGTTTTGCAGCATAGGCACATGCAGCATACTTTAAGAGCGAATTTGACAGAGCCTTTATAGGAACCAGTGATGAAAAGTAACAATCGAGATCGAAAAGATCCATCCTGTCAAAATTAGAGACGTGACAGAAGTAGGGGGCCTACTAGATGGCTTCCACATACCAGTAACCTGGATTCTCGGCGAAATGCCTCAAGAGAAAAGCGATCTCGTGGTCAGTCTCCACATTTGCGTCGAGTTGCTCATTTGATAATACATTTCGATACCTTCCTATAATGGAAGTATGTGACGAGGAGTCTCTGCGATCCACTACTGTCGATAAGCTAGACTCGTCAGATGGTGAAATCATGTTTGAAGGGTTAAGCAGAAAATTAATATTATTGTTGTTATTATTAGAAGAGGTAACGGATATTGGTGGCGAGACCGGAGAAAGAAGTGCATTGCCTGTATGGCTAGGCGAATGATTAGTCCTGGGGTTTGAAGTTACTCGTGGGTCACTGCACGTAGTATGCGTTAGGACGGTGCTGTCAGCTGACACTGTAGACGAATGTTGAAAAACATATTGATTTTTTGCGGTACAGCTCGATAATGCCATCAAGCCATGAGCAGTATCATGGCTTGCGGAAAATGAGTGCTGATGATTCCACTCATGAACTAGCGATCTAGACCTACTGGAATCCGTTGCCAGTAACGATGCTTCCAGTTCTTCAACATGCGGGTCTGTATTGTCCACGAAGATGACTGTTTGAGACTAGAGTGTTATTTAAAGAATCCTCAATCATGATAATTCTCTTCCGAGGGATATGATAAGATCCACGCTCTACTAATTTGAGAAGCACTCTCGTACCGTTTTTGGGAATATCAAGCCATACGGCATCTTCATCGAACGTGTTCTTGTAGGAATAGAATCCCCTCAACGCCTGACGACCAGAATCACCATTTTTGTCGCTGTCGTTGTTGTTGTAGTTCATGGACGCATTCTGTTGATGACGAAATACAATGCCTTCGCTGGGCCGGCATTCCCTCGACGCCTTGCGGCATTGGGTGCATTGTGGACTCTGCCTATCACCAATTGTCTGATACTGTTCGTCGCATTTTAGCTTTCTAGCGCGACATGTCAAGCTGCAGCACTCATTAGCTTTCCAGAATCTGCCACATAGTATGCGTATGTATAATGTATGACGGAGTACGTTGCTCCCGCAGAGAGAGGGGCTGTTTGGGATTGTGGAATGGAATCAAATGGAGATTAACTTACCAACCTGTTCGAGATCGCATGCCAACTATCGAGGGACTCATGTAGCTGCATTTGCAGCTCTGGATACAATGAGGGCAGAGCCAAAAGTAGTACTAAGGGTGTGAGAATTTAGAAGGTCATGAGGATCATCGGTGAAAGCTCAAGGACGTCCGAGCTTAGCCTAGACTGTTAATTTACGATACGCCGCCCAACGGGTGGAGCATACGGGGTACTCCGCACGATTGCATACAAATAAATCTTCCGTAACAGTACCATACGTGGACTAACCAACTCCATACTTCTTGTCAATCACGGCAACAGAAATACCCTCTGGATTCCTAGGCATTACTATCATTATACCAACAGAAAGTAGTCCGGATATGTACATGGTAATCTCTCACTAATCACAAAGAACGAGAGTGCAGACCAGGATTATTCACAGTGAGGGCAGGGGGCAGGTGTCAGCATAGCACAGCACACAAATTTGCTCGCATCAAAGGAAAATGGAATCGCTCGACATTAGCGGGGTATAGAATTCAAGGAAAAATCGACGATGCTTGAAAATGCTAGATGGGGAAATGCGAGAGCCAGCCAGCGAATTGAGGCTCGCGCTTGATCTCATGATAAATCGGAAACATAGAGAGGAAGAAGGCTATCGTTTAAAGGGTAGGGGGGCCAAGGTTACGTTGTCTCAGCGAGTCGAAAAGATATTCTGGGGGAACCCGTCGCATGCTAGTCGGCCGGTCGGAATTGAATGCTGTTGGAGCCTGAACATAGCCTTGTCGGTATCGTTGGATCCTGTTTAGGGCGACACCCAAGACGACAAGAAGGAAGACACATCCAAGAGCAATGCAGAAAGAAACAAGGACAACTAGTCCTGCCGAAAGACGAGGGGATTCTGCACAATATTATGTTAGTTACATGACCTAAAAGTATTGACTGTCGGGAAACTTGTGGATGCCTACTTTTACCGCTAAAAGTATTCTGCTTTTCTGTAATCATTTCTCGAATAGTACCAGGTTGTCCATCTGCGGTTGACGAGAGAATGAAAGGTGTTACTGTAGTGCCGTTGAAAAAGGCAGCAGATGCATTTCCGAAGTCGGGAATTGCTAGCTGTCCAGTAATGAGCAGGATTTGGTCATCGTTCAAGAGCTGTGTGCTGCCATGATTGCTATTGAGGCCTATCACTTGTAATCCGAGGATAGTCGTAGACACGTCGAAAAGCTGTCCGGCGCTGTTGAACTTCGTTCCATCGTACTCCATAATGAAAGCTGACCCGTTCGAACCCTGGCCGGCGATCCAGTATGAGGACAGATCTGTAGCAGCCGGGCCAAACGCAGTGACTGGCCCAGGAATCTCAGATGATGAGGCACCATTAATGGACGACCATTTCTGTGAGCTAGTGTCGTATGATGCGATCATTGTATGATTATCTCCAACGGTTAAATTACCAGCAGCGATCAATTGAGTGCCGCTTGCCCATTGAAGAGAAGTCACAGACCCTCGCATGTCCACACCAGGCCGACTCCACTGGCCAGCAGAAGTGTCCCATATACAAACGGCAGGGCATGGAAGATCACCTGCGGCTTCGAAAACTCCCCCGAAATAGATCTCAGTTGTGCTGGGCCGGGCCGTGATAGAATTAGTAACAACGTTGTCTCCAGTCAATGCCGGAGGTTGAGGCGAGGAAAAGCCTAATGTCGATAGATTATAAGAGATGAAACCGTTGAGAGTTGATGATCCAACAAGACCGGTGACTGAGCCACCAGCAAATAATGTGTCTTTGTAAACTGCAAGAGTTGTAAAGGTAGAGTTGCTGTCAACACCTGCAGGTATGCCTGTCACAGTGTCACTGTTCGAGCCGTTCAAGAACAGAATATTCTGAATGGTGGAGCCATCAGTAGCCTTAGCAGTAAATTGACCACCCAAGATCGTGAGATTACGACCATTGGCTGTATCGAAATAGCCCACAGAGACTTCAGAAACATTTTGCACGGTGGAATCCCGTTTCGAGGTCGATCCACCGTTCTGAAGTTCATCAATATCCACAGGGAGAGGTTGAAGTGCGAGACCATCAGAATCTACAAGAGATACAACACCTCCAGACGATATACCATCAGACGATAGAGATCCAGCCAAAATTGTGGTGTTGTTGCCAACATTAGCCGTTGCCATCAATTGACCGGAGTAGGCCATCTCATAACCGTCCAAGTTAGCCAACCAGTTTTGCTTGGATGGAACCCAAATAGCGAAACCGGATACATCCACGGATGCATTTGATCCGAAGGCCACAATCTGATCGAATAGTCCACTGACTGCCACGGTGGTCTCAATTGCTCCATTCGACGTGTTCACAGGGAATGACAAGACGGAAGTTACAGGCCCATTGACGCCTGCACCAAGTGGAGACCAAGTATCACTACCAGTAGAATAAGCTGCGACATAATTGAGATCTTGCACACCACCTTGCGCGGTGCTTGTAAAATTTCCTCCCGCGTATAATGTATCGTTGAGCATGAGTAAGGTCTGAACATAAGAATTCAGGCCACTGCCGCTGAGGGAAGTAGCATTGCCGCTGGAGTTGAAGGACAGGATGTTACTCAGAGTAGAATCGGAGAAATTCCCTGCTACATAAGTGACATCTCCGGATTGAACCAAGCTGTGAATTGTTGCTTTTGAGCTCAGTTGTGATCCGATATAGTCAATATTATCGGATGAGAAGTCCGTATCCGTTGTGTTCTCTGGATTATAATCATACAGTCCGTTCAATTCACCGACAGAGGTATTAGTGGAGGAAATCAAATTGAAGCCAACACGAGAAGCTACAATTTCAATCTCGCCCTGTCCGTCCAATGGAGTGACTGTGATTGTTGATCTGAAGTCGTCACTGTTTGCTTCAATATATCCCGTGTATATGGTATCGTACTTTTCGTAGTCATTGGTTTGCCATATTGTCGATGTATCAAGATTTGCTTCTGCCTCGGTGGAGCTGAATGTGGCAGTGACATTGACCGCGCCTCTAGATTTGCATGTATCGGCAACGGAACATCCGGGGGTGTAGAGAAGAACTGAGTAGTTTCCCGATTGCTTGATGTCAGGGCTGAAGGCGATAGATATGTTAGAAGAACTAGAAACATTAGCAACTAGATACTCGGTTGAAGCGCCGGCTGATGTAACTGTCCAGGTCCCTGTTGTGTTCGATGTGGAAGGGAATTCAATTCCAGCACATAATGGCTCATTGAAGTTGTTGACTGCATATGTGAAAATTTGATCTTGGAATACCTCTATACCATCGAGTCCGGCACCTTCACCATACCAATCTTGAATCTGAATCATAAAACCAGACATGCCAACAGGATTAACCAATTCAAAATCCCGATAGACTTCGGAGGTATCATTGGACAGTGGACATGACGAGTCACAGTATGCTCTCCGGCCAGTTGTGGGGTCGATATAGGTCAAGTTCATGATACCTGTGTCTGGTAGAGCTTGATAGCGGAAGGCCTTTGTGCCTCTTCCCTGGTAATGGGTGTTGTATAGGCGAATCTTGCTCGGGTAGAAAGTATAGCCCATATCTGCCTCCCAGAAGCCGGGTGAATAATCTGCGAGTAACCAAGTATTCCCAGCGCTATCGGCATCATCAGTTTTGCAGATAATATTTCGTGGGTCAACAAAACTAGAAAGAGTTGTTTGGGCATCGCTTGAAACGTTGGCGGTAGACAGGTTGATCACCTGGGTATTGTTCGTGGCTGTTGATGTCACATTACCCAAGCTATCGAAATTGCCGCCGAAGATGATATGGCCATCAGGACCTTGGGCGATCGAAGTTATGGGGCCATTGAAACCACCAAAAGGTAACGACTGCCAGCCGGTGCTCCCATTCCAGATCATTGCGTTCGTCGAGTTGTCTATTGTGAAATCACCACCAACGTAAACCGAATCCGATTGCTGATCGCATAGCAATGCTTGTACAACGCCCGACAAGCCGGACATATCCTGGACGCTATTTGTCGTTGGGTTGTACAGTGCTAAGCCTTCTGACTGTATGCCTCCTAGACTAGTAAAATTGCCTCCGACAACGACGCCTTCGAAGGTGCCGTTGCTACGTGTCCACGAACACATGGCAAGAATGTGCGCATCGGTGGACAGTAGAGTTGTAATGTCACCATTTGGTAGTGTTGCAAGCAGTGATTGAGAGCCATTGGTGGAAGATGTAGACTCGCTCTCTTGTAAGTAGGAGTATATGGATATCGAGTCGAAGTTGCCCGTCAGTGCAATTCTTCCCAGAGGCGATAAATCTAGATTTGGCTGTGATATTGGCGTAGCTGTGAGGGCATTGGCGGTCGGGAAATGCCAATAACTGAGAAGAGCGGATACCAGAGCTGCCGTCGCAGGCCTAGACAGTGAGGAAGCCCTCATTGTATAGGTTGCGACGACCGACGATGCGCTTTATTTTCAATACAAACCACAACAGTTCGGATTCGTAGCGAATTTCTAAACGGTGTGAGAGTGAGAGGAGCGATGACGGGCTTAGTTATTATCCCAGGTGCGAGTTGTCGAACGCGAGCGAGGAATGGGTGGAATGTTGAACCCAGGCGTGAGATCTGAAAAAATGCGTAGGACTATGCTATGTGTCGTCGGGCTGTGCAGTGGCAGTGGCAAACACCGAATTCCATATACAGTTCAAGTCGATCGCCTGTGTGCGCACTGGATTAAGAGAGTATCCGAGAATCCCGCGAGAGCGAATGAAGAAAATATTTGTGTCGAAGAAAGACGAAATTGAAGGTGCAGTCAAAGTCCGGGAAAGCGAATGTAAAGTAGTTGGAAGACACTCAATAAATCTATAGAAAGCAAAAGGAAGAACAAAAAAATATGAATCAAGTGAATGACATGGCCAACATATAACCGTGAATGGCAGCAGAGCTTGAAGCCACTGAATGGCGTGTTGAAGCCGTGAAGGGGAATGTGAGGAAGAAAGAGGATGGGGAGATGCCGTTGCCGTCCCTGACCCAAACTGGCGAGAGAGAGTAAATAAACCGCTAGTTGGGTTAGCTCCAAGCACCATGCCCGAAGGGGCTAAGTGCATCCCGGCGTAAAACGAGTAAAATTGCGACTGGGTCAAAAGTGACGCTGCTTCAGCCAATCAGTCACCAGAGGGCTGCAGACCGGCTTGCGTTGATACCGCGTTATTTCAAGCCGAAAGGTGCATCTGCGAATCATATTTATTTTTTGGTCCCACTGTGACCACAATAACTAGCAACGCCACGAGCCGGCGTAAGATTCGATACACCTCGTGTAATGTTATTTATGCTATCTTCCCCATGTCAGCAACGAGGATTGATATCTATTAAGCAGGAGCTCAACAAGTACTATGTACGGAGTATTTCCTATTGTCTGGTGCCATTATTGTGTACTCATGCATCCCGGGCATTATTATCTCGGAGTCGGTCAATAGTAACACCCCAAGGCGCAGGTCCTCGACGCGACCCAGAAACCTACCCTTTGTTGAGGCCATTGCTCTTATTGATATTTTGATGGTCAATTGTTGGTTTTTGGACATCGTATTACATGCTATTTCTTTGCGAAGGGGGCTATGTTTCGGTAGGACAATGGGCATGGTTTGTATATTAGGTATTTGGATATATTTAGACCCCTTCAGATACCAGCTATGGTTATGTTACACACAGAATAGGGGAAACGGAAAATATCCCACCGCCCAGTATAGATATTCCAGACTCCATTTACATTATCGTCCAGATATCAATAAAGTTTGGTGTATTCTTGGTCCATTACAAAATTACGACGCCTTGCCTGGGAAGCTTCACTCATGAGTTTCGGTTGTTACGGCGGATTCAAGCTTCATCACGGAATCATCGAACGGGCATCATAGACTACCAACTTGCAACAGTTATGCAAATGGATATAAGACGTCTAGGTAGCGTGCATATGTACTTGTTTTTCACTATCTCCTCCAACTTCTTAAACATCAGTTCAAGTTGTTTCTTGTCGTTCAGGCTTTGAGCCGAGAATGATCTTCAGGGCCAATCACAACTAATGGTGGGGCCGAACCCGAGTTCACTAGTTAAGTATGCCACGCTAGGCCTAATATAGCATAGAATTGTGCAAAATCAGCAGGCCAATCACAGCATGGTCGGCCAAGGTCATGTGACCTGTCCAATTGTCTTGGCAGGCTAATCTGGTTATGGCAGTTAAAGTGGTGTCGCCGCGCCGCGTCTCACAGCGCGCGTGTTCCAGAAGAAAAGTGTCTTTGCAGTAACTATCAGCGCTTGCTCCGACTAACTACAACGAACATCAGACTCACTTCATCGTCCTGTCGCCACGCAAGTATTCTTTGAGAACAGAGAAACACCAGTCGCTGTGTGATATTAAGAAAGGGATTTTATCCGCTGCCTCGGCGCACCTCCAATATGTGAGCTCACTTTTCTTTCAGTTCCTCATCTATTGAACCTAACTCATTCCGCCTAGGGAGAGCTTCGAAAACATCTATCTAGACCTGTCCAAACAGGCAGGCAAATGCAAACTTGCAGAGAGTGGTATGGGATGGCGACCATCGGGCGGCGGAGACACGTTTACTTTGGATAGCAGCAATATTGGAGCTGCACAATGGAGCCGAGCTGCCAAAGGATGCGAGCTGAAAATCCTGTCACGGACGTCAGGCGTCATTCAATTGGACGGCTTTGATCAAGAGGTAAGAACTCTTAATTAATGAGCTCTATATTCGATTTTGCCACTAATGCCTGATTTTGCCGTAGGATTTTGAGCGATTGAGCAAAGCCTTCAAAGTCTGGTACGGCGTCGCCATCGAACAACGAGAACATGCACTTCGAGGATGGAATTGGGGCAAAGCAGAATTCACCAAGGCGGAACTTGCCTTCAATGTCCAAAACCGTCCCGCTTTTGAAATCCCTTACTCTGAAATTTCGAACACAAATCTGGCGGGTAAGAATGAGGTCGCAGTTGAATTTGCGCTTCCCGCAGATGAGAAGGCCAATGGTCACATCGAGGGCAGCACCAAAAACCGTGGCCGGAAAGCTGCTGCTGGTCCTGACGAACTAGTTGAGATGCGGTTTTATATTCCTGGTACAGCCCTAAAGAAGGAGAAGCCTCAAGAAGATGGGACCAAGAAAGAAGAAGACGAGGAAGAGGAAGTTGAAGAAGTCGAAGAACAGAACGCCGCGAATCTCTTCTACGAGACTCTTATGGACAAGGCAGAGATAGGCGATGTGGCAGGAGACACATATGCTACATTCTTGGACGTCCTGCATCTTACACCCAGGTTTGTACCAATGATTTTCTCATGAGATTCTAATGGCCGATTGAACTAACAACAAATTACGATCAGAGGTCGATTTGATATTGATATGTACGAAGCGTCGTTCCGGCTCCGTGGTAAGACATATGACTATAAGATTCAATACTCCTCGATAAAGAAATTTTTCTTGCTACCCAAGAACGATGAGATGCACACTTTGATCGTTCTTGGTCTGGATCCACCACTTCGACAAGGTCAAACAAGATATCCCTTCTTGGTCATGCAGTTGAAACTAGATGAGGAAGTTAGCATAGAGCTCAACATGACAGAGTAAGAAGTTCTGCTCTTATATTCAAATATAGATTCTCGCGGTATCTAACAATAGCCTCTAGGGAACTTTTACAAGAACGCTACAAAGGCAAGTTGGAGCCGCGATATGAGGAACCAATCCATCAGGTCATTACCAAGATTTTCCGTGGCCTTTCAGGGAAGAAAGTCATAATGCCATCGAAGGACTTTGTCAGTCATCACGGCCACAGTGGAGTTAAATGCTCTATCAAAGCAAACGAGGGTTCCTTGTATTTCTTGGATAAGAGCCTTATGTTCGTCCCTAAGCCGGCAACTTACATTCAGATCGAAAACATTGCCGTGGTTACCATGTCACGTGTTGGCGGTGCTATTTCTGCCAGCAGAACATTCGATATCACCGTCAGCTTGAAGGGTGGCTTAGGAGAACATCAATTCAGCAACATCAATCGGTATGAAACTTTCCATTCCCTACGTCGTGATAGCATGATAGAATATTCTCTGACCAATCCTATGCGTACAGTGAGGAACAACAACCACTGGAGGAATTTTTCAAAGCGAAAAACATCCGAATCAAAAATGAAATGGTTGACGACGTAAGTTTTTTTTCGTCTTGGTCTTTCCTTCATTACGTATATGTCATCTAACCTTGAAATCGAATCTGTAGTCCGCTGCCCTCATTGCAGCAGCTCTCGAGAATGAGGACTCTAGTGACGATGATGTCCTTCCTGATCGCGGTTCTGCTGACGAAGACGAAGAATCCGTGGATGAAGACTTCCGTGCTGACTCCGATTCCGATGTTGCCGAAGAGTATGACTCTGCACACGAAAGCAGTGGCAGCGGAAGCGGCAGTGACGCTGAAATGGATGACGCGGACGAGGACGACGATGTAGTGGACGATGAAGATGAAGAAGAGGAAGAACGACCCAAGAAGAAATCCAAAGTTGGTAAATAAGTCACCATCGGGCCTCTTCACCTCTATTTGTCTCCATCCGTGTATTGGATCAAAATCACAGTCGAGTTCACCTCATTCATAATGTCCAGGAATGTATGGATCAATAACTTCTTGCATGCAGTGAAGCAGCAGTCAGCCAGGTGAAACGTGGTCTTCCATATTCATTTGACGCATTTCCGGCTTCTTCTTCAAAGGTATGAAACAGTTGCCTTGTCTTTATTTTCCGATTTGCCATAATTACTATTGGGTTGCAACGGGTTTAATTCTCTGATTATGAGATTAGGCATCTCTTCCTTTCTTGGGCTCTCCTTCGTTTCTCTTGTATGTCTAAAAGGTTTTTGCCTGGCTATTTTATTGTACTATGATAGTTACCTACTTTTGCTGCACAAAATACCAAAAACCGCTTTGAAGTGTTCATTGTATTCCTAACATAGATATCCGTTTACGTATACTATATGTGGCGAGCATTTAGCCACAGAGAATTATTGGCGGAGAAGGGGGAGAAGTGATATTCTGACTTTTGCGAGCATATGTTAGATTCGTAGCAACTGTATGAGTGGTGTAGTCCAGTGTCTTCCATGGTACCTCTCTCCGTACCTAAAGTATAGAACAGAAATTTAGGCATGCTAATTACATAGATTTCATTTCGTTCAGACTCCGTACGTTTTTTCTTTCCCGATTTGTAAGATTAATTTCTAGCTACTAACTGTCTAAGAAATAAACAGCCAAGGATCCATAGGCCCGCCTGAATAGATTCCTCCAAGTACATGTATGCTTGACAGATTGTTCGTAAAGATAGAAAAAGAAGCAGAAAAAGATGTCAGTCTTAAGTCCTAAATAAGGTTACAAAAATCCACCAAAGCTGTGAGAAACATATATCAAAGACATAATTATGATCGAAGTGAAAAGTAAGGGGAAAAAATCACCAGGACAGGAAGTCAAGAAATAGGGGAAGGAACAGAAAATAACCACCCATGAAGTGCACGTAATTTGGTATCTTTTGCACGATATAAAAAAAGGGGCGGGATAAAAACTGGCTATATACAGAAGTCGCTCATTGTAATCGCCATGCAAATGTATCAAGTCAGACCGCGAGGTCCATGATGCGTCTTATTTGGCTTCGTTGAATTAAATCAAAAGAATTTCTTCCTTCTGTCGTGTTGTCTCAAAATCCAGCTTTCGTATTTAAACAATCCAAAGAAGCAAGAAGAAGGAAGCAGAAATAAACAAAAGTCGTTCACACGCTTATAAGTTGATAGTCGAATATTCGTAATTATCATAACGCACGGTATGAGATTAGTGTAAATAGTGGTCATAAATCATTGGTTTCATCAATAATCAAATCGTGTCTCTCGTAATGGTTGCTGAAAATGAATCAAACTTGAAATGTCATCTCGTCATCATAAACTAACAGTTCTTCGTTTTTCACTCGGCTTTTGAGCGTATGCAATGAGTAACCTGAATCCAGTGCCACTTTTTTGACACTCCCGCAAAATCTTTCGCTCAGCCCAGATGCTTTGGTCAATATTTGGGTCTGAAAGGACTGGGATTTCGTAGGAACGTGTGTACCACCATCGTCCGACCCTAGCCACCACCTTCGCGATGGACTCGTCGTTTGAAGCAGATGGAGACGGGTCAGACAGTAAGTCTCCGAGTGAAGGCTCTGCTTCATCTGATGGTGTTCTCGCATGCGGCGGCGGCGATCTGAGAGATGATGGCGGTGATGAAACTGCGGTGCCCGCACTTGGTATGTCGGAAGATGTATTATTCGAGTTGGAAGAGCCAGTGGATCCTCCAATCATGCCAGCTACTGGAATGCTGACCATGCATCTATTTAAATTGTCGTAGCCACATATCCCCAACAGTCTTTGGAAGTTATCACTCGCAGGTTTGAGACTGATACTCGAATCTGCAAGATAGATCTTCTCCTTAAGATTTCTCACTGCCTTCCGTGTCCTATTGCCCACGTTCACGAGGTCCAAATCCAACACACTCATTTCCAAATAGCCACCATACCGAAGCACTCTTTTACATTCAGATAAAATGTGTCTTTGTCCATCCTCAGAAGATGCCGCCGGAAATCTGATAACGCATGCCGAGAAAAATCCTTTCGGGAAGGGGAACGCAGTGTCGACAACACCGGTGTGATGAATAAGATGATGGTTCGAGGGTGGCTTCCATGCCTCTGGATGAGGCGAAGAGGAAGATGACCCGGACCGTATACTTAAATTATATATGTTGGCATTTGGATAAGTCAGTGCGCAGTAGTACGACCAGTCGTCATTGCCAAGTCCATCGATGATCAAAATGCATTCTGATTCGCTTTTTTGGATGCGATTATGAGCCGGGCTGAAGAGTACACGGCCAAACGAGAGCCATTTGCTCGTCATAAGAGAGGCAGATCTAAGGTTTGTCTGTGCTGCTGCACCCTCTCGCATTCTTTCAGCCATGTCAAACAACATCGTGTTCCGTCGACGAGTGGTTTCGAAGTCAGTTGTGTTAGTTGGTGTGGGAGATTGAGCCTTATCTGACTGTGTTTGGCTTGTCGTCTCAGGTGGTTCTGTAGAACTCTCCGGAGGCGCGACATCAGAGAGACTCTTATTTGGTTCTGAGTATTCAGCAATAAGGTCATTATATGATACCTGCGGCGACGGCGAGTGCAGGGCAGCGGCAATTTTAGAACGGCGTAGACGAACTGACACATCACTCGACCGAGCAGGTGGCGTAGCAAAAGCAACATCAGGTGTATCAGAAGTAGTAGAAACACGTGGTATGGTATCCGAACCACTGATCTCCGCTTGTAGAGTCTTGCTTGCTTTCTTCACCAACTCAAATGGCCCCATGGTCCCAAAATCCTGCTCTGTCTTACTACTTGGAGCCATCATAATATCCAAGAGGTCATCATATTCGGCCCATATTTCCTCCTCAGACTCATTCGCATTAGGCTTTGCAGCCATTGAAGCCACTGTTGCTAGAATAGAATCCGCCTCTGAAGTGGAGCTAGAAACTTCGGATTGTTTTCGTGGAGAAAATCGTATAAATTCATCAGTAGCATATGCGCCCGACATGAATTTTGCACTTTCACTGAGCACTGGAGCGCTGAAAGGACCCGAAGCACCAGGTGGTGAGTAGTAAATAGGGCCCTGTGAAAAAGGGTCTGTTTCAACACTGAGCTTTGACCGACCATACCTATCTTGAATATCTCTCTGGGGACCCGCTGTAATAGTAAAAGATGGCGCCTCATCGCGACTGAACGGCCGGGAATACGACTGAGAAGGAGGCTTATGATCACGTTCCCGATCTCTACTCGATACTACACGCGGTATCCGTCCCACTGGTGCTAGTCTGCTGCGTCTCTTATTCTCCGGGCTTTCATCCTGTTTCTGGAAGAAAACTTTGGGTGATGCCGGTCTGTTTTGTGAAGGATTGATGCCCTCTGCAGTGAATTCCTTCCAAATCGTGGGAGGTGACGGAAGCAATACACTTGTTCCGTGACGTACATTTAGAGCCGGTTCAGTAGGTTCGGCGAGTTGCGCCTGCAAAAATGCTTCATCATCACTTGGAGGAGACTCCTCCACCCGATGCAGGATATCCTCAAGAGAATCTGAATCAGCTTCAATAAGTGCGTAGTGAGCAACAGGGCGAGACTTAGCAACGGGAGCAACATGCGCATGAAGCTGAGTTTCAGTGGAGGTAGTGCTGCTGGTAGGGACTGGAGCCGACTGATTTTGTTCATTTTTCTGGCTCCTGTGGAAAAAGTTCCACCTTCGGCTGGGCTTGGTATTTGAGATCTTTGGCGATGTCGTACTACTGGATTTCGAAGCTACTTTGCTAATCGGTGGTAGCGCAGAGAAGTTGGCATCCTGGTTAGCTTCTGAGACCTCATGGGTACCGCGTGCTGCATCTCTTTTGAAACTAGGGATCCCAGAAGGAGCAGGTTCATTTCTTGTATTCTTTGATTTCATGTGTTGCGTTCTCCTAACTTGGGGGGAGAGACTCGTGTCGGAGCTGAAAAGCCAGGGAGCCGGTTTGGCTTGGTCTAGCGAGGAACTCAGAGATTCGGAAGAGTATCCCCTCATAAGTGGTTCACCATTAAACGTTGAAGAACCCGATGCTGATGTGGCGCTCAGTGTACTTGAGCTTTGACCGCTCTGAGTTCGAAAAAGCTGCTCACGATCCATCCCACCTCCACTAATAACAACAGGTTCTAGTCGCTCAAGAAAGAAGTCATCAATGTCCGGCTGTTGATGGTTGGAACCCTTACTGCTAGCAATCGATGTGCCACCATTAGTGCTCGTAGATCGTGCTCGGGTGCCGTTTGTGTTGCCAACGCTAGATTTGCGCCCTCGTTGAGCATATTTTCCATAACCCTCATGGCCGGTTCCGGCTACTGGCCCCTTACGAGAGGCCTTTTCCTCTAGATTAGATTTAGTGAAAGAAAGTTCAACCTTTGACTTCTTATTGAAGATATTGTATTTGTTCGTTGAGTTTGTATTTTCATAACTCTTGGACTCTTTCGGAGACTTGACCAGTGTCCGGGGAGCCTTTCGTGGAATCTGAGTACTGTCATTGCGAGACGGAGTACGAGCTGACACGTTCGATTGAAAAGATTCCACAGAAGCAGCAGCTGATTTGAAAGGAGCAACACGCAGACGCTCCGGTGAGTTAATCTTCTCTGCTGATGCACGCCGTGCATGAGTGGTAGTTGCCCGGAGGGCAGGCAAATTGCTCCTAATGACGGGGGAAACAGTTTGTTCTAATTTGTCTGTTCCATCACGGCTTGGTCGACGAGGTTTAAACAAACTGCCATTACTGACAGATTTGGAATCCGGTGGATTATCCACATTGTCTTGTTCGTCGTAGCTTCCATTTCGAGACTTCTGAGAAATTTGCGGTGATTTCGCTAGTTGGTATTCCGCTCGTGAGCTTGTCTGAGGCACTGGCTCCTGATTTGCCTGCTGCATGGGTAATGCTTCAGCTTTCGGGGTTCTCGTGTAAACATCAGTAGCTATTGGGCCTAAAATGGTGGGCTCATCACTGTCTATCTGTGATACTGGTGTCGTTGTCATTCGAAGCCCAGCTGTCTGACGTATCTGAATAGGGCTCTGTTGCTTGAATCTGTAACCAGTCGTTGCGGGTTGAGTTATGCCTGGGGAGTAAGAAGACAGAGACGTCGGAGTAGAGCCTCGACTGCTCCACATACCGGGAGATTCAGAGTAGCGAGTTGAGGGGCTACTTGCTGATGTGAAGATAGGCGTCGGCGGTGGCGGAAGATTGCTTGTATTTATCGTAGTCCTCAAGCCAATGAATTCCTTCGGTATTTGTTGAATTGGGACATTATCGGTTGCCTTTGGGATTTTGACTCTCGGTAGTTTTGTTGGGACATTGGAAGAATCCTCTGAATACGATATACCCTGGATATTTGGAGTAAGGATACCTATACTATGTTCTGGTTGAGCGATATATTGAGCCGGGGAAACCGTGGTGAGGACTTCTGCTACTTTGCCATCAACATTTGACTGTCCTATTGGATCGTCGCGTCTCCTGAAATTTGCTTTTCTGCGAAGAACATTTCGTGGGCGATCATCTTTAGTACTCCTAGGCTTGGCCACATCTGAATGGACAGACTCCATTGGTATCGGTTTATTGGGAGCAGCCGGAACCTGGTAAATCTCTGGACGGTTGGAGGTCAATGAAGGTGCCGAAGGACGCCTATAGGTTGGGTTATTGCCAGTCAGTCGGGGCAATCCTGATGGGCGTTCTTCATCACTGGACTGGGATCGCGAAGCCTTTGTCACAGGTCGGACAATTAATGGTTCTGCCTGGCGAATAGTCGCCCGAGACTCACTTCCACGCTCTGTTGGAGAGTTGATTGGCGCTGGAAGATACGACTTGGAAGATGCAATTCCAGAATAACCGAGAGCTGGTGACCTTTTCTGTGGCGAGGTCATGATATTGTCTGTTGGAGACTTCAATTCCGGCAATCTCGTACCTAGAATCCGGTCTGTTCGGCGCGACGACATTTTGCGACAAGATTCGGGGTCCTGGCACCAGGCCAGAAGACCTCATTAATGTCGTTTCTGAGTTTAGAAAGTGATCGCCCGCAGAATCATCCCGACAAGCTAGATTTCTGAATATGTGAACTATAGAGCTCACGATAATATTCCAGTGGGATTCGTTATCCACGACCGTAAGCTCTGACCTTGGGAATTCAAATTTCACAATTGATTCCTGATTCAAGATTTTTTTAACGAATGTCGACGTGAGCTTCCCTTGGCGATGCGATCGTAAACGGCATATAATAATCATACATGAATGAATCTGTATAGAAGTGGATAGATGGGTGGCGATAATATAAAGAAGCGGCAACAGCCAGGTTTAAAAGAATGACGTATATAGGTAATGATTCTTTATCGCTGAAAAAAGGTCTCCAAGGGTTCAACTTGAGAAATATATTATTAGCACTGCTCATCTTGGATCAAGGTAATGAGGCAGGCATACAGTTGTTCCTGCAGACTCCGCCACACTTCCGACGCCGGCTCAGTGGCTCACACTCCACATCGGCAAATCGTGGCTAGTGCAGGTGAGGCGACGCCGACACCAGCAAGGAACCCAACGATTGACACGTCACTGGAGCTCAGCTAATTATGGGAGAATTAGCGGTGGCTTGATTGTTGAAGGTTGAGTGAAAACAAATCTGGAAGAGAAAATTTCCACACGCGTTGGCTGCGGACTCCAGTATTATACTGTACTGCAGGGGTGGCTCTGGGAAAATCGCTGGGTCAAGTTAGTCAACGCTAGACAGATTTAAGCGATTAACAGGGTTTCCAGTCAGGTTGATAATTTGCCCATATGCGGCCTGTGTAGCCTTTCTCATAAATTGGTAAACAAGCTAAGGCCGCTTCCGCGGACGAGTCACCATCATCGAAAGCGACGGCCGTGAGCACCGGGCGGTTACAAGAGCACGAGTAGCCTCGCCCAGGCTGCAGACTGGGGAGGAAGTGCGTTGCAGACTTCCAGACAACGGCAGTTGGTTGGGCTAGTTTGCCCGCAGGAAAGAGCGATATGGCCCCACCACGCATCTAGACTGGATTGTTGGAGAAGACGAGAAGCTAAAAAGCTGTTAGGCAAGTCTGGCGCAGAGAGAAGCATCGTCGCGAATCTGAGAGGATGTGATAGGGGAGCGACGGTGGCGTGGAGAGGCGTTGAAGGCTCCGTGCACGGCGCACGCAGGTGGAGATCGAGTCAGAAGTGAAGGTGATGGATTAACTAGTGCGCTGCACAGCGTCGCATTAGACGGTACTGCGCTTCTAAGAATAAATAAGGGAGGCAAATGAGAACTTCGACGATGTTCTGCGGTCTGCCCGGTCAGGTGATGATCCCGTGCAACGCGCTTACCAAATATGTGTACCCGAACCTCGACAGGCAAGCTTCACTATCGGCTCCTTGATCCATGGGCATACTCATACTTTTAGCACGAACCCACCCGTTAAACGTTGATATCAACTCGAATTCGAGCCGTGGATTCCAGACCGAGCCGAACCTTTTTCCTGATCCATTTGTTCACGACGCCAAAGCTCAACCACTCAAGATGTGATGACGGTGTGCAGATCAATACGGCAATGTCTCCGCACGCGGTACCAGATTTTCACCGCGCATCGTCCGGCAGCCATGATTGGCCGGTGGCGGACCAGTCAGATCTGCAAATCGACGTATGCACGCCTGATTCGTGGCTCGACGTGCATTAGCGTGGGCAGGGCAGCGCTGAGCCTCGCATGAAGTGCCATATTCTAGGCCCACCGGGCGGAAACTCCGTTGCATGGTCAAAGTCAAAGAAAATGAGACGGGGGGTAAAAAGAAAGGAAAGCCATTGATTAAAATCTCCGAAGCAAGGAATTTCTTAACCTTCCACGACCATTCTATATTACTGCTGGTAGTATCTTACTTAGCATTACTCATTTCTTTTCAGTGGGCTTGCTGATGTCCTTGTTGACGACTATGTAAGTTTTCACTGTACTGTGTAGAGTACTACGATATAAGTTAGTATACTTTCCAAGTTGGATAAATTTACTTGACTTTCAAATATACATAACTGGTTAAATGAAATTAACCTTGAAACTATCATTCGATCGGATGAAAATGTGACCAACTCGAATGCGTGGCTAATGAGAATAAACATATTCACCGACAAGCCCCCACTCAGTCCCGTTCTCCCAGTCGAAGCCAGTTTGAAGACAGCTTTGAATCTACATGGTGTAAGAGAGACATCACCTGTAGTCTCCATAGTCAAAGGTGTCACGTATGCGCTGGTGGATCTCACAGAAAGACCAGATCTTTTTGCCAACATTGTGCGGGGAGAAAACCCCAATCTTAATCTTATTGACGGATGGTCCCCTTCGTTCATGGGTATCATGTACTACAAATTTCTTGGGTCTCGCACAGAAGGCAACACAGTGATATGGGAGCTTCGCATGCGCATGATCGCTATTAACCTAGAGGATCCTGCCTGTGGCAGCGGAGGGTGCTCTCTAGGGGCATATATTGCGTTAGCAAACGGTCAGTGAAGTCGAAAACACCGATTTCATATCCATCAGGGCTCTGAGGTGGGAAGGGATAGCCGTATTATTGTGGAGGTACTCGTTAACGAGGAAAGAAATCAGGTTTCGAATATCAAACTTGGTGGTCACGTAGCATTTGTAGCAGAAGGAAAGATCTCTGTGAATTAAACACGTCCTTTACCTTGCGTTCCGTTCAATAAGGCCAGGTAGAGATATTGCAGAAAATATTATTGAGAAGCTTGAAGAGATCTAAAAATTAACTACTCCTAGACAGGCCATTATAATCGATACAACTATGGTTATATTGTCGGCTTGCGGGTGGGTTAACCGCTGGGCCCAATTCTATTTCTATAATGAGGTTCTCTAATCTCTTGGATGTAAGGAATGAGTGATAATCAGTCTTCTACGTAGTCCGCTCCGGAACCACAGCAGCCCACGGGTGTTGAACCCTCCCATACATGATATTGCTCAGGAAGCCCTTGATCTTGCCAGTCACCTCTCCCGATTCACCATGCACTCCCATCGGAATCTTGATGTCGTGCTCTCTATGACGAATATGCGAGACGGGAGTAATGAACCACTACAGCAGTATGAGCTTGCCAATTCAACAATATGTCGTATCACAAAGAATCCAAACAGAAATAAATGTGGAGGACTCACCGCAGTTCCTGCAGAAAATGATTCTAACAGGCGACCATCAGCCGCTGCGTCAATAATCTCATTAATAGTAAACTTTCTTTCAGTGATCTCCAATTCATCACTGAGCCTCTCCTTTGCGAGCTCAAGGCAGCTTCGTCGGGTGACGCCATCCAGGATCAGTCTGTCATCCAGAGGAGCGGTGACGAGCTCCTTCTTGCCGTCTTTGCGGAGCCATACCACGAAGAAATTACTGCCTCCTGCTTCAGTGCACTCACCGTCCTCTCCATATAGCCACAGCGTCTGATGGAAACCTTCTCGGGAGGCTGCCTGAGAGGCAAGAACTGACGGCCCGTAATTTGCACCCACTTTGGCGTACCCAAAGCCACCGACCCAAGAACGTACCAAATTATCAGGGGATGTTAGAAGCTTCATCCTACCTGGCACAGAGTCCACCCGCGGCATGTAACCCATAATGATGTAGAGCATGGCGCTTTGGGGCGCTTGAACGCCAAGAGACGGCTGAGTACCGATGAGCGTAGGCCGCAGGTAAAGAAAGTCTCCTGCTCGGCTTTTCGGCAGCCATTTAGAGCCATCAACTGAGATAAGCGCGTATATAAGCTGCTGCAGCTCTTTCGAGTCGACGAAAGGTAGGGAGATCCTGTTAGCGGACATTTGCAAGCGAGCTGCATTATGTTCCGTACGAAAGACACGGAGCTTTCCATCGTAGCCGCGGTAAGCCTTGAGACCCTCGAAGCATTCGGTTGCATAGTGCAAGCAGGAAGCAGTAGGCATGAGGGTTAGTGGACCGTAGGGCTTTAGCTCGGGAGCGGACCAGCCTGTGTGGGCATTCCAGGTCGCTAGTATCATATGGTCGGTACAAATTGTCTCTTTACCAGTGCAAGCAATAGCTGGATCAGGAACGTCGCGTGGGCTATCGGTAAATGTGTAGATGAGCTTGGATGCATTAAGTGGCTGCGGCGCGCCATTCTGTGCGTTACTGAGAGAAGTCATGTTGGCAGCACGCAGCTGTGTTTTCTCAAGGTCGATTGTCCTGTCTAAGTTTGGGAGCAATGGAGAGTATACTTGATACTTATAGCTGTCGATATTGCCCCAGACCTATCGAAGATCGAGACATTCCGAATGCTCATTGGCTCATGTAAAAACCTGAGATGGACCCACTAGGGCGTGTAAAAAATGTTTTTACGCCCTACCCGTGCATTCGGCCCCACCCAGGCACGGTTAGATTCGGATATTTTCATCTGACCCACATGCCGTCAATCTTTAAAAGTTTAGCTACAACACGCACATAAGAGTCGTCCATTGTTCTAGTGTCAGTCAGCTACGTCCCGATCTCCCTTGAGCGTGGGTAATTCCACATTAAAAACTTCTCTGGGTGAGATTTCTCAGTTCCTCTGTGGATTTGAAGACTTCGAATACATAGACCTCGGCTCAATGTCGCTTGTTTCAATAAAATACCGCTTCAACATGCTACGTGTCTTCCATTGGCCACCGCCATCAAGGACGCAAAAGCTTAGTTTCCACTGTTTGCGTTCACCACATATTGTGAACGGATGTTGAGAAAGCAAATTAGCCCAGAGCCCAGTGCAAAGCTCAACGCAGGGAATGGTTCCTCTGCGTAGTTTTATTGAGATTTCCAGAATATTGCTTATCGATCTCATATCATGGGGTCATAATATATGAATGTAACGGAATTTTCATTCATCGCTGAAAAATTACTTAATACGAACCTGCGGTAGTGGTCTAAATGAACTACCGAACTACTGCGTTTGAGTCACTTTTCCTACTCGCCTTGAACACCTTAAAACTCATGATTTGACATCTTCAATACAAGCGCGGTCGCACACTAACCATTGTCCTATGGAAAACTCGACGGTTTGACGTCCTTCGAGTTTTCAACTCAGGGAATAGGCAACGGATAGCACTATCCGCGCTTGTGTCCAGTGGAGAGGGACAAGATGACAGTACGTCAGTTTTTTTTTTTTTTCATTTGTGCAGCACTGAGCTGATTGCATCTCCTTAGCGACTCACTATGCTCATTTACCACAGTACACCGCAAATTCATCCGATCCGTATGAGTCATTCTCTCCTTTTGTCGTTTCTCCAGACTGGTCCCGTATTACACTCGAAGAGGATGCATCCTTCACCAGTGTCCTCAACCTTTCTCCCGAGAACAGACTTTCGGACTGTAGCGGCAATCTGCCATTGAAATCAGCGTCTATGGAATATCAAAGTCAACTAGACATTGAAGACAGCGCCCAAAATCTTCGTGTTGGGGATGAGAAAGACACTGGGTGTGTTGCCAACCTTTGGGACAACTACCACTCGGAATATGCAATTACTTCATTTACTGACCCAAATTCCATGCCGTTTGATTCAATCATCAATGTATTTGACAATGATAAAATAGCGGACTGTACAAATGACCAGGTGGTGGTCTCTGCAACAAATACCTGGAGAGAGCAAAGTAATACCAACAGGGGACTTCCCCGCCGCAGAAGTAGGCATTACCTCCGGAGAAGAAGCGTCAACCCAGGTGTCACTGGGATGAGTGTACAGCCATCCTATCCTTTGATGCGATGGCAGCAGTCGCCTCCTGAAGACGAACCTGCTGCACTCTCTACCGTAAGAGCTGCAGTTCAGCGCTCAGTCAGTCCACCGGGAAGAGAGAGATCTACGCTCGATAGCGACTGGGTTGTCCCTGATTCAGATGTTTTGGATCCCTTCAGAACATATCGACAACCACGATCGCGAGCAGCTTCAACGACTAGTTGTGAAAGTATGACTAGTAATTCTTCCCAATCTAGTTTTTCTAGCGGTGCAACCAGGAAAAGACCATCGAGTCTCTCCCGGAAGATTCGATCAAGTGATAAAGACAAGTCTTCTTCGACCACGAACATCCAGCGTCCATTTTGTTGTACATTCTGCTGTGATACGTTTAAGAACAAGTATGATTGGATGCGACACGAGAAGTCGCTTCATCTAAACCTTGAGAATTGGGTCTGCATTCCCTTTGGCGGGACTGTCGTTTTGCAAGCCACAGGCCGGACACACTGTGCATATTGCAATATGTTAGATCCTACTTCTGAGCATCTCTCTGGGCACAACCACGGTGCATGCGATGGGCAGCTGCGGAAGTTTCGACGTAAGGACCATCTTGTTCAGCACTTACGCCTTGTACATCGTCTTACTACTCTTCCCCTAATTTCCGATTGGAAGATCGAAGCCGACAATTTCGAATCTCACTGTGGTTTTTGCGATCGCCAGATGAGCAGTTGGTCGGAACGCTGCGACCACCTCGCTCTTCATTTCCGCAACGGTTGTACCATGGCTGATTGGAAAGGTGATCATGGGTTTCCTCCTTCGATCGCATGCCAAGTGACTCGTGCCGTGCCGCCGTATTTGATTCATCACGAGTCACAGACCTTGGTCCCTTTTTCTGCTACTAATAGGCACGTTGACGATCATTTCTCCCAGATGCTCTCACGAGCTATGTTGGGAAGTAATGCGGAGACCAACACCAAGGCTTGCCAACCAGCGCCTAGCCTATTCGGCCAATTTGAGGATCAGCGCTCTTCGCTGAACTCCTACACTCAGATCCTGGTTCTTCATCTGTGTCACTATGCAGAGGTACAGTCGCATTTGGGTATAATTCCTACTGATGAAATGTTCCAGCGGGAGGCAAGACGCCTACTCTTCGACTCCGATGACCCGTGGAATCAGACGATCGCAGACCGCCCAGAATGGCTTGCAGATTTCCGAGAGCAGCACGGGTATTGATCTTCTACCAATATCACACATGCTCCAGACGCATCGATCTCGGCGCAGGCCACACGAGAGAAGCCATAGAGGCTTAATATTGGTTGACTTGGCCTGCCGCGCACCGTCTCCTGCCCCCTGTAAGCTGCTCGCCCGGCTGGCTAGTGACTTTGTTGCGGTACCCAATTTCGTGGCGGTAGAGGGCTTGAAGGCATGGGTAAATGGAATTGAGGGTGGTATCCCGGTGGTTTGCGGAGAGTTATCTGCAGTTAGCATGGGCGTTATGCTGGGCTCGGCGACGGAGTCATCTCTGCGTAGCAAGCTTCGTTTAGATGACAATAGTCAGCGCCTCCTTTTCAGCTTATGAATCGCTTGTTGGGATTTCCCTTCAGTCCATTTTCCAACATCAGTGTCGCTTCTCTGCTAACGACACAGGGACCACGTCAAGTCTTTAGAGCCAGCTCATAATTGTCCAATATTAAAGAATATAATAAATCCGGATCACATGACCTCCCTTGACCCGTAGCGATACTTCCAAAGGACGCAAGTTTTTCTCATTGCTGATTTCTTGGTTATATCATTGTCGTTGGGCTTCAATAGATCAAGTAAACGCTTCTGTGCTCGTCCAATTTAACGATACGTATCGCACCAAAAGAGAGAGAGAAAACCCTAATCATATACTTGTCTCGCCCCTTGAACGCCTATAATTATCTCAGTGAAAATACATGTAAAGAAGGATAACAGGGATTTTGTTTTTTTTTTTATTTGAATGTATTTCTTCATTTCCTCCCCGCATTGGACGAAGGCTATTGACATTTTGCAACACTATGCAGCTGCAGAGAATCGTTTCTTCCTAGCCTCTGCTGCAGCTTTGTCCTTGTCACTGAACACGGGTTTAGGATCGTTGCTTCGGCCGGCTGGGTTGTTGCTTTTGCGATTCTGAACACGGTTACGACCACCAGCGCCGCCAAAATTACGTCGTTTGCCTCCACGTCCACCCTGTTCGTCACCTCGACCGCGCTTTCGTTCCCGTTCAGCAGGGAGAGCTTGATCTAGTCGGCTGACACCTACTCCCGATTCAGTTGAACCGCCTGTTCCAAATCGTTTCGCTCGTTCAAGCGCCTTTTCTGCCTCTGTCGACTCTGATTGGGTTTCTGCAACAATGCCAAATTTCTCAGCACGGGCTTTGCGTTTCTTCAACTCTTCTTCTATCTCCGTCGGCTGGAGTCCGATGCTGTAGTCGACGGCGGGCTTCTCTTCTGTCGCAGCTTGTTCAGAAGCATCGCCCTTATTTTCAATGTGAAGATCATTCGTCTTTGCAGGATCCTCTCCAAGTGTTTGGTTGGGGACGGCGACTGGATTCGGCACTTGTCCTTGGCCACCAGCAGCAATAGAAGCAGCGCCAGCTTCTGTTGAGGCTTGAGCGCTCTCTTTTAACGGAGCTTCAGTAGTAGGCGCTTCATCATCCCAGTCGATAATATCCTCAGCGGCGTCGGGCTTTGCTTCGGTTTTCGTTGCACTGGCTGCTGTATCGGCTTCCTGAAGTCGAGCAACAAGCTCAGCCTTCTTACCAGAGGTTGTCAGACCACGAGCTTTCAGTAGCTCTTGTAACTGCGCGACGGTCTTTTTCTCGTATTCCGATGCCATTGTCAGAGTAGTAACCTTTGTGGGCCAGATAGCGAAAGAGTGTGTATAGCTATGCAGGTGACGTCGTATGCGCGCAGGGGCGTATATTGCGACGGAGGGACGCTAGAAAGAGATTTCAAACGGTGAAATCGAACATAGAAAAACAGACAATCAGACAAATCGGGCCGTAAGTTAAATAAAATAAGATGGCAAGAAAGCGACAACGCAATGGTTGAAACGAGCTGGTGCTTGGAGGTGACAAAGCCTCGCGGCGCGCGCGACTGTCTGAGCTGGGGGAAGCTAGGTACGAAGTCACGTGAGCAGTAGCCAATGGGTGTCATTTGCCCCGATAAAGCAGTTGTTAAGGACTAACAATGGGCGCACCCCACAATTGCATGACAGACACTAAGAACAAAACTTGAGCAATTGTTCATCCCTAGTGTCCAGGCGTGATGTCGACATCGAACTTGGAGGATGATCCATGATACGAGCTGAAATCGCCCAAAATGCCGCGCAATTCGGCATCCATCCCGGAGACACACTTCCTACGAGGGCAAACAGACCCGTCGCTCGAGTCGACGCACGTGTCGGGGCCAATCGCGTTTCTAAACCCAACCAAAGTGCACTTCAGGCCTACGGCTAAGCGCAAAGAGGATCAGGAATTTCCACAACCAGTTGGCGAGGGCGAGGAACAACAGGCAGTAGAACCCGGTAAACAACCCAGAGTTGAATATCTCTGGCGCTCTCGCGATAACCGCAAAGGCCGCCATGCTATCCACGTCCAGTACTCCCCGGAGCAGCATGGGCCCGGACATATTCTCCCGGAAAGCACTACGAGTCTGCAAGCAGTACTTCGCATTCTCCTTCGGATGGCGACATATTGCCCTTACTGGGATGTGTCCTACCTTGTTGCAGCTATCTTCACACTAGGCTCTGTGATCTGGGTCATCAATTCGTTTTTTGTCTGGCTACCTCTCCAAGATCCGTCGACGACGTTCCCTGGCGAGGCTGTAACAGGCGGCGGCGTGTCGGCCTTTATCGGCGCTACCATTTTCGAGATAGGCAGTGTTTTACTCCTCCTAGAGGCCGTCAATGAGAACCAGACCTCCTGTTTTGGATGGGCCGTGGAAAATGTGGTCAAAAGACTTGAAGCGAGAGAGTACTTGGTCAACACGACTGAAGTCAGACCTGTTGAATCGCAGGATTGCTCCCATCATCACTCCAATAAGCGCTCTTTTCTGCGAGATGGACTAAGGGAACGTTCCTCTGAAGACCAGAGATCATTTGAATGGATACCTTCACTTGCAGAATTACGATCTCACTATTTTCATGAGCTTGGGTTTTTGGCATCATTTGTGCAGCTGATTGGAGCCACCGTATTCTGGATTGCCGGGTTTACAGGTCTTCCAGGCATCATTGACCACATGAGCCAGGGCTTGACAGATGGCGTGTATTGGACACCTCAAATTGTGGGCGGATGTTGTTTCGTTATCAGTGGGTAAGTCATTTTACCCCAAACTTTGCCTGAGTCTATTTTTTTTTTCACCCCGGTTCACTGACAGCTCAGCAGTCTTCTTTTTACCATTGAAACGCAGCCAAAATGGTATATTCCGGCTCCCAAAGTTCTTGGGTGGCATATAGGGTTTTGGAATTTCATTGGAGGAATTGGCTTTACAGTAAGTTATCAATTCCCTGTCTTCCACACTTCCCTCCTCGACATCAAATAAGAATAGACACATGGCTAACGTCACTAGCTCTGCGGTGCCCTCGGACCAGCGTCCTCCGGATCCTCTAGAGTTGAATATCAATCTTGCTTGGCCACTTTCTGGGGGTCATGGGCCTTTCTAGTCGGCTCAGCAATTCAGTGGTATGAGAGTCTAGACAAGTTCCCAGTCGAGAAGAAAACGCAGACTACCTCGCCCGGTACGATCTACCATGGTAAACGATAAACACGATAGCCAGGCTTGAAATCGGTGCAGGCAGAAGTATAATAGATGTATATATAGCATACCCGCCTATATCCTCTAGTTATAAGTCAGTATTTACGTAGATAAGAGTCGATTGTTCATAATAATAGTTGTATAATACATATGCTTCACTTCCAATGCTTCACTTCCAGTCCGTAACTGTAGGTTTCCATTCAAAAAAAAGTCTACCAACAAGTTGTCTCAGGACAAAATTATCTTCCCTGTCCATGTACTCTACTCAACATTTCAGTTAAAATTGCCTGCTATTTATTAAGAAACATAAACAAGAAACTAGATCAGAATGCACTCACGTGTGCACAAGATTCGAAAGTTTCGCCGACACTCCGTGCGAAGATCCAGGCGCATGCCGCGCGAAAGAATGATCTCCGGAGACACAAGGACCGTTCTTTGCACAGCTGCATCAGCAGCATATACCCGGAAAGAAAATATATACTCACCGTGTCTTCTCCCTCTTGCCCTCCTCCTCCCTTGGTGAAGCTCTTGTCTCCCCAGCCACTGCCTCCCCCGGCGTTGTTGGCTGCCGTGGGAACGGCACTTGCACCGCCTTGAGTAGACATAGTATTATGATTAGGCCTGGTTTCGCCTTTGTTAGTGGAGGAAGAAGATGGCGTCGCCATGGTGGTTTCTGAAGCCGATGGGACACGTAACGATGGTCTTTTTTGGAGGTGAAAGGAAATATTTTCTTTTGTTTTGATATAGGGCGAGATCTGTGACAGAACTAAAGATTAGCATAGGTCAAAAAAGCCGAAACTTCTCAGTTTCTTCAGTGGCAAGTCGTGGCGCATCACTTGCCTCATCCGTGTCGGTATAGTTGTGTGGCGGTGGAGTTTGATTTTTGAAAGACTGACCTTGTGCCTGTTCAAGTCGATCTGATCTAAATACTACTGAAATGCTTCTATCACATTCGATAAAGTAAGACGAGGCTGGATAAACCGAAATGTTTGGTCTAGGGCAAGGAGGTGTGATGTATGGGCTCGTCATGATTACGTTTGATACCTACATCCGCTTAGGGTTTGTTCCTGGAAGCTCTGAAGGTTTAACCTTTGAGGCTCACTACATTTTATACGTATCCGTGGATGGCACGACGATAGTTTGTAGCATATCAAACCACCCGTCGTCAATAGATCCACTTAGGTGATGATCCCAAGCGTGAGCATACTATTGAAAGTAGAGGTAGAATTACGAGATAATGCTACCTAGGTAAGATTCAAAGCGTTCTAAGTTTTAAATATCAATTTGTGTTCAAAGGGTAGTCACCTCAATCCATTGCTACTAAGCTTCGGAAAACTTCCCAATAAGAAATCACGTTCAGACAAAGGGAAGAAAATCTTCCACAGCTCATTTCTATTCTTCCCAGAAAAGAAGAAAAAAGAAAGAAATACAAAATATCTCGCTAACGCATGTAGTCGATATCTCCAAAGAGAGTACTTCCGGCTCAGGAGTAGAAAAAGTAGATAGCCGAGTATTTTATCGTAAGTGTTTCTGCTTTCTTTGCACAATTGCCTGGCTGACCACCAGCAGTCCAAACACGGTAGATATCCTGATCGTTCATGTCATTATAGGTATTTCCCAGTGGAAGAGAGATATAAATATGGTAGATGTAAACTCACGGTGATATTAGTAGTGTCTATTCCAACTGGAGTTATGTTCCCAAGTCTTAGCCAATCCACCGACATAGAAGGCGCGGTGGTCGGAGCAGTGGATGAGCTAAGTTTTGCACCTTGTATGATACTGCCCCCCATCAGAGAGAGGTCGAAAGTTGCCTGGGCAGGAGAGCCGGTGAAGTAGTGGCTGCCGAGGAGGAAGCCGTTGGTCGTGTCATTAATTGAGGCAGTAAATTTGTCCAAAACCACTGCGGCTAGAACGACAGAATCAGGGGACATATATTGAAGAGCCCTAGGGAGCCCAGCTAGGAAATTAGTGTTTTCTGCCATGCAGGATACATCAAAGAGATTGGCAGTGGCGCCAATGGGCACTGGGGGGTCTGTAGACGAGGCATCACACGTGTAGTTCTGATAGCCGACACCTAGAGCAAGATATGTGACTATACTGTCCATAGGAGGAGTACTGAGAGGAGTACTGCCCCCGTTGAACGGAGCTTGGACATCGGATGGGATTCGGCATACACCGGGTGGAGAATTCCGACCGAGATTCTGCGCGCTGATAAGAATAGTGCTAGCATCATCGAAGACGGTCACGCCGACTGGAAGTTCGCCTAGCATAGCATTGGCCAGCTGTACAGTCAAGCTGAGAGGGAGAAAGAGAAGGAAAAGGTAGTTGCCCATGTTGCAAAGTTGGAATAAGGAGAGACACCAAGATATTCAGGACGTGTGAATGCAGGTACCTAGGCATTTCCAGGGAAACAGGAACGTTGGAGAAGTAGAAGTTGTGTCATGCTAGGGAACATGGAGTAATAATATATAATCTTTGGACAGCTCCTTGTCAGTCGCATGTGAGTCAAAACTCCCGGAGGAGATGACTACGATATATATTAAAGACCCAGTGCCCAGACTAGTACACTTACTCGTTGTGGCGAGAAATGATTAAATTATGAATGACTCATGTAATATGTGATTACTGTACTACAGCTGAGGAGAGTCGCTCATAGTCCTGGTAATGGTTGACTCGATTCACACCCGATATAATCAACCTAGAACAGTCTCCAAATCCAGCTGTCATGTCAAGTGACCGAGAGAACAATGAACAGACAGATAGGATGTAGCCCTAATGGGCCCCAAACTAATACGTAGTGTCTCCGAATTAGCGTTCTACATAAAATCAATTGACTGACCTTATAGAGATCACAAACTGAGATTGCTGCATGGAAGAAAAATCCATTGTCATAGCATAATCATACGCGGTGACCGATTAGGAGCCGATGAAGGCGAGACTCTGTATATCTAGCTACAGCAATCTACAACAAAAAGTACCTCGCAGAGTGAACATATAGAATGGCCTGAGTAGAATAGCACGTGCAAACATGGCCTTGGAAGTCTGACAGACTATATAAACGACACATATATAAATAACTCAGTCATACAAATTGACTTAAAGGGAACTGAATCTAAGACAAAGAAACGAAAAGTATTCCATTCTAGGCAATTAATTTCTGGACACGTGGACTGGGTAGCCCTAGACCGTGAAGGTTGACCTGCGATTTCGTCCCACCGGTTGGTTGCATTAAAGACCAAACCCAAGGTTTTAAGAATTATGATCTAACTAATTATTGTAAGAGAACATCTTGTATATTTGCATATCTATGTATCCGTATTGTCAAAAATCATATCACACTCAAGTAATTTCGGAGTAGTATTTAAAGACCCTTTCTTTTTCATTCTGTGTGCTAAGAGTACAAGTGCCATCCAGAAACGCTAAAGGTTACAAAAATGGTGCAATGAAACGATAAGGAAACTCGGAATAGAAGAAAAAAGGTGCCTGGTTAATCTTATACATATATGTACAAGCACAAACTCAAGTCAGATTTCACACAGGCTAAAATCAAAGGAAGAGAAATGAAAGGGAAAAAACATTCAACCATCTAATCTCCTGCCACCACCCAACACCCGGAATTAGAAAAGTAATTAGATATAAGGACCGTAAGAAGTAGAAATCGATGCTTGTCAGACTGGCATCGACATCTGAAAGCAGGGAAATAAAAGACAGAAACCGCGAACAAAGGAGAAAAACACAACATAACATCTGCAGATGGTATCAGAACGTAATAAATTGCAAGTCCACGCCTGCGAAACCTCGAAGCCAACCCTGTCTCGCGAGGTCCATAAAATGTATATCGTTAATATGAAAGCTGCGCCATGAAACAATTCCAGGGCAACCCATTGCAACCTCTATAGTCATCACAAAGGAAAAAAAAACAAAAGAGAAAAAAAGTAACCCGATGTAGTCCCCGTTTTAGTTTGGCCCTGCCTGCCCATTCATCCCAAAACAATCCAGGTTGGGGTATCAAATTTCTGTGTTCGGTCACAGAACGAGCCAGTCAGTAGCATGAGGAATGCGTGAATATAAAAGAAAAAGAAAAACCTGTTATACAATGGCGGAAGAACGGAGGGGGTAAAATAGACTATCTGAGACAGGATATCATGATGCGGACAACCGAAAGCCACGTTGGGACGCCGTAGATAGTAAAATAAAACCGAAGCCGCTAATTTTCAAGTTCGAAAAGAGCACATATTCCAGTACATCGTTGTGTGAGTAGCTAAATCATGCGCATCGATGGGGGTGTTTTCGATCTATTCATCTTCTTCACCAGAACCAGTTTCCTTTTCGCCCTTGTGGACCTTTTTGTGCCGCCGCAGATTGGATACAACGGAGAAATGACGTCCGCAGCCTTCCACATCGCACGCATATGCTATGGAAAAAATTAGTATCCAGGTATAGTATGGTCACAATTCAATTGCAGAGGACTAAACTTACGTTTCTCGCCAGTGTGACTGTACATGTGCGTTTGAAGAGATGAGGGACGGGTAAAGCGCTTGTCGCAAACTTTGCATTTGTGTTTCTTTTGCGCATTTGACGGCACCTTGGAGCTGAATTGGCCCATCATCGACTGAGGACCTGCAGGTGCTGCTGCTCCTAAAAGACCATTTGGTCGGGGCAGGGTTCGTGAAGGCATTCCATCGTATTGGTCCGAGGTCGAACTGTAATCGGTGACGGAAGAATCGACCGAGGCCACGGAGGCGCTGTAGTATGGGTAGTTGCTGGCGGACGACATTGAAGACACGGACGAGTGGGTAGAAGGGAATCCGTAAGAATCGGCAGAACCTCGGGAGCTTCGAGGGGCATAGATATTACGTGGTGTCAAATCCTGACTCAGAGCAACCATTCCGCGGCTGGCATCAATGGCGTCACTGTATGATGTGGAAGATTGGGATATGCGGGCATCGGCTCTATATAGCAGTATTTCGTGTTAGAAGAGGAAGATAAAACAAGACACAAAGGGAGGCTTACGGATGAGACATGCGGCGAGCATCTTGCTGAGATAACCCCGAGGCGTAGCCCAGTGATGTGTAGTTGGTAGGTGTGAAGCTATTGATGGGGGCAGCAGCAGTGTATGAAGGCGCGGCGTCAAAGCTGGAGCGAGGCATGTCGTGCTGCATGTTCAACATATCGGAGCCTCCATAACCAGCCGACGAGTAGTTGCTGCCGGCTACCAGTGACGGGCCCGAGACCGGAATGGTAGAGTAGGGCATGGAAATGGCAGTCGGCCGGGTGACATCTTCGTGTTTGACGGGGTTCAAGGCCAAGTGACTGCTACCCATCGAGGTGGTTGTATAAACAGGCGGGTTCGAGTGCGACGATGTCTGCGCCCAAGGATCTGTAAATTGGGGACTTTGGCTGTGTGACAGATTGTTCGGGTAGACACTATCGAAGCCTATACCGCCGTACTGGCGGTTCTGGTTCTCAATGACCATCGTCATGGAGGATGGTGTGTATGTGTATGTGCGTGCGAATGAACAGGGTCAGAGAAATTCGAAATGCGACGGACGAGGTCGTCGACGAGGAAAGAGCGAGATATGACGTCGTATGGCGCAGCGTAAACACAGAGAGCAGAGAGGGAAGGTGCGACGCGGACGAGGCAGGCGCACCGAGAGGAAGGAGCAGGGGAGGAGGCGCTTGAGAGTTGTCGGAGCGAACCTTAACAAGAACAAACAACAAGCAGGTGGTACAGCAATAGTCGTGGTGGTAACGGTAGTAATTATAATAATAACAATAATAGAGATTAGTGAATTAAGTTGTAGTTGTAAGTTGGCTGTGCCCTATTGCGCCTTGGCGGAGTTTCTCATAGAATTTGGATGCGATGTTTGGTGTTTTCGGAGTTTGGTGGTGGTGTTTGTCCCAGAGGAACGAGGGAAAAGTGCGAGAGAGAACTTGCGAGCCGGAGCTGTCTTGGGAAGGGGATCGACGTAGCTTAAGAGGCAGAGGAAAATTGGGGCAGAGGGACAAGATGGCATTCATGGACATTAAGCATCATGAGAAAAGGTACGTACCAGATGGGGCCTGTGCCACTGACGACGTTCCGTCGGGGAAGGCTGCAGATCGTTTGGTTCCCAAACGGCGCCAGCACCCAAAGGGGAAGCTAAAGGAAGAAACACTTCAAGCGCGCTTTCCCTCTTTTTGGGCAGCGGGCGCACGGCCATTGGCTGGAAATGCGGATGGGGCGCGATTGGGCCGCTGTGATAGGGCGGGCTGGCAAAGCCCCAAAAAGGGTCCCCCCCGGGCCATCTCCAAGGTCAGTATTGGGTTAGCGCGCCCACTACGAGCCGTGTTGGGAGCTTTTTGGGCTTAGCGCTGCTGTAGCCCGGCGGGGGTGGTTGGGCGCTAAGAAAGTCACTTCTTCCCTTTTCCTCTGCTACAAACGGGGAGATTTTGGACCAGTCCCAGTACGTATCTTACTATCTCCTGGCCCCTCGTAAGGAGCGTTACTAGCGCTTTATAATACGAGATCACTCACTGCCTAGTGCCTACACTTGCCGGTGGGGGAGGGGAAGTAAAATGCGTTCGTTTATTTGTGACGAAATCTCGGTGCATACATATTGCACTCATTCACGGAATACAAAATGAGAAACAGGAATACGGAAGTATCGATTAATAGTCAGACAGTAACGTGGAATCCGCCGTGATGTTGAGCGTGCTACTTCCAATTGAAATTAAAAGAAATTGGCACACACACAAGGTGAAGCGAAGAGGGAAAAAAAAAAAAAAAAAAAAAAAAATAAGATCAAGGTCATAGCAACTTTGGTCACTGACCATGGCGTCTTCGACGGTTTAGGAAATCCGGTTTTCAGCTGAACAAAGGGGCA